CTAATTCATCATAATGAAAGAGAAGATTGCTAAATGGATGCATTGTCCTGAGGCAAAATTGTACCGTTGGCCTAGCTAGTAATTTGTGGATCCTCTTAAAGATTTGTCTTTGAATTTTTTTGTGCTTCTTAAATTAAAGTCACATATGATTGCGTGACACGATCTCCAAGGGAATAAGTATATGGCTGCTTGACTATAAACTTAGAATTCAGTCATGTCAAAAAAAAAAAAAAAACGAATACGAAGAAAAAAATAAAAATAAAAATAAAATAAATAGTAAGAAAAAAGAGATCATCAGAGGTATAAACCTAACATGGTCACTCTGGAGTCTATAAAACTTACCACTGGGACATCTCTTTCTTCAATTGAGACTTGGACATCTGCAAGGAAACATAATCAAGCTTTATAGAGTTCAATGTTAAAGTTAGTTCAACCTCAAATGATCAAATGCCTCTACACTGTATGTGTTCCACATGAGTATAGTGAAGCTTCATGATCTTTAACTCTTGGACCCATCTGTTGTGTATTCATTTAGAGGAGACTGTCACTCTTTAATTACCTTCTATATTCTGTCTTTATTCATCAATCAACTATCTAATAAGCTGGTGCAATCATGTTACTTGATTTAAGTCCTTTCACATCATTCAGTAATCCCACAGATATTACTAACATTGGTACAAGTACTTTTACTCTGTTCTAAGCACAGTTGCACCATCCTAGAGAGAGTTAACCCAACTACTTGGCATAGTAAGCCATTTCCTCTGAATAAAAAGATACATCAAAAGGGGGGGTATTATTGTTAGAATAACCCTGCCACTAAGGTGACCTTACCTGGCATATCTGTAGGGTTAGGGTGGGGTTACCCCATGGAAAGACTTCCAAAAATAGCTCTGGGTACTGATAGCCTGGAAAAGATCACAGATGGAAGCATCTGGTACTGATTTCTCCATTCGTGTCTTTTTCTGTCATCCATCTCTAGCAAATACTGATTACTGCTAGTTTATTCCCTCTGAAGGTTGTCACAATGATTTAGGCCAAAATCTATGATCAATATTATATGCA